CACACACACACACACACACACACACCATCACACATGCACACACATAAGTAAACACGTGTGTGTGAACTCAAAACGTCAAAAAGCAAAGCAAACATGTCTGCATCGGTACATGGATGTGAATTCATCTCGTTTCTAATCAGAGCCACATTAAGTGCAATAAATCATGTAAAAGGTCCAAATAGCTGCACTTAAATAACAGCTAAATAAAACCCAGACGCTCCTCTCGGTGCTTATTATTTTAAATTTCATGTGAGTTTGGCAACGGCGAGAAACTTGGTGTCGTAGTACCCTGGACGTCCACTGTGGGGCGCTAACGGTCTCCTTTTCCCCCAATCGGCAGGTGTCCATGCTTTTACTTTGAAAGTAGCTACAGGAAGTGCGCGTTTCATTGTTAGAGCGCGTTGACTGTGGTCCTGCGGCCGCTCAGCCTCCTCCCGTCGTCGCCATGGTGCAGATGATGGAGTCGCAGTGCGAGTATTTCATGTATTTCCCGGCGGTGCCGATCACGGACCTGTCCGACCCGGCCCGGTACCGCACGCTGCCCCGCAGGAGCCACCTGTACCTGGGCGAGACCGTCCGCTTCCTGCTGGTGCTGCGCTGCAGGGAAGCCGGAGCGACGCCGACCGAGCACGGCCCGGGTACGTGAGGGAGGGCCGAGGAGAGAGGAGTGTACGAGCCTGTGATAGTCATACAGACGTGAACACGAAACCATGAAAACACGGAGACAGAGCGCAGCAGAAACCTGCCGAGGCTCCTCCTGTAACGTTAGGATGTTTCGTGACGTGTCCCGCAGGTGTGCACAGGATATCCTCGTTATGCCGTCTTACATACGTCACATGTATTTATATGCACGAGTCACGTCAGTCAGGATGTGTAAATATTTAAAGCAGGAACAAACAACAAAGCCTCAGCAGTAACGGCTGCACACAAAGGAGGCCGCACACTCACGGTTAACCCTTTGTTGACCCACAGACACGCCCTCTGAATATCTGCATTTATGGAGGTCATACCTGCACCACCCAGAAACCTCCACCTGACTGTTATGGCCGCGCAGTTTAGGTCAAAGCAGGCTAAACGTCACGAGAGACTAACACATCCAGACAAATGCATTAATTAAACCTGCGCTTGGCCAACAGTAGATACGAGCTTCAAATGAAAGCATGTAGGTGCAGAGCGGGACTCAGCGTCACAATCAATGAACCAGAGTTAAACTCCTGAGATGATCCGGCCGGGGGACACGTCCTGATACAGGACCTGAGACAGGACCTGAGACAGGACCTGAGACAGGGTAAAGCCCCAGCAGCCATGATGGGGGATCAACGCAGGGCTGAGTTCAGTCACTGGGAAACGAAGGAGCAAAAAGATGCAGTAAAACACATTTAAATAGAATAAAATATTGTATAAAACAGGACCATACCTGCCTTAAACACCTGCACAGATGGGGCCACAAACATGAGCTACTGTAGGACCACAGCTCTAACAGGCTGAAGCACTGAAACAGGAAATTATGTGAAGGTTCAAAGAGTGAGCGCTGCCACTGAAACAAAGAACCGTTTGGGGAATTTGTTTTCGCTTTGCTTTGTTAGTCATTTTCTCAGAAGTCTGAGTTACAGAGTCAAACTCTTCAGACTTTTGTACTTAAAATGTTTCTTTGGGTGTAAAAAAGCTTCCTGGAGCAGAGCTGTCTGTTTCCCAGCAGGGGGCGCTGATGGCACCGCGGCAGGTTTTGGGACGGAATCGGTCAGCGGCCGGGCGTGGAGGGAGCTGGCCGGATCTCTGTGCGCCGTGGCGAGCGTGAGTCCGGGTGAGAGCAGTCGTCACCGGGGCAACCACCATCAGCATCACCACGACTACCAGAGCAGCGGGGACGAGGCCAACGAGGATGGCGAAGAGGACTACATCGCCGCGGCCGAGGCCGCCATCGCTGCGCTCGGCAGCAGGGTGGACTCCCGGTGCCGGAGCTTCAGGGACTGCAAACCTCTGCTCATCCACAACTCCTCTGGGACGGCGTCGAGGGAGTTCCGCAGGGCGCCCGTCCAGGTAGATGCGCACCTTTACCTGTCTTTGATACGGCGCTCCTCCCTCCAGCTGTTAGATTAAGATCAGTCCTCAGAGGCGATGCTTTCCTCTCAGGCGCGATGATGTGTTTGCTCCTCCCTGTCAGTCTCCTCTAGATGAGCCGGTGGTCCTGACGGATGAGGTCATCTTCCCGCTCACCGTCTCTCTGGACAAACTGCCCGTCAGCACCCTGAAAGTCAAGGTCCGCCTTGTTCTGGATGCAGATATCTGGCGTTGTGTGAAGACTTGGAGTCGTAGCTGCTTTGCTCAGTAATTTTGCTCCATGTGCGTTCAGGTGATGGTCACGGTGTGGAAGAAGGAGGCGGAGAAAGTGGAGGTGCAGGAACTCGGCTACCTGAGCGTGCTGCAGCAGAGAGAGCCGACGCACACCTTCAGACACGACCTGAACACCTTCAAGGCTCAGGGTAGGCACTGACTGCTTCATGGGAACGCCGTGGGTAGACAGGAAACAGGTGGGAACAGCGCGCACCTGACAGTGACTCACACAGGTGACCATGAGAACAGGTTTGACACTCAGGAAGCAGAACAAACAAGATGCAACAGGAAAGTAACCTTCAAAATAAAACAGGAAGTACAGAACAATTATGAATCAAAGTAACGGAATGACGAGACATTTAATCTCTCTTCCACAGCAGGGGGTCACATGGGTGTGGCGTGTTATTGTAGGCTCTGCTCCTCGAGGTGACATAACCTGAACGCAGAGTCGTTAGCATCCGTCTAGATTTCATTAAATCAAGATAAATGCTGTAAAAAACAATAAATCCAACCATGACAGAGGTCAGTTATGGACATGTGATCAGTTTCATTGATCAGTCAGGAGTTAAATCAGCTCGTTCAGTTCCTGAGTCGCCTGAGCTGGGGTGGGACCCATTTCCTGCTCCCCCCGTCCTCGCCTCTGAGAGCCTCGCTGAGGTTCTCACACTGAGGGCGGGACTGTTTTATCCTGATAAACAGAATTTGAATGATTGTATAAGATGTCACGTTGTTCTCTGGGAGGTTTAACACAGCTTCTGGTCCACAGTGAGCACCACCCTGACCGTCCTGCCGCCTCCAACCGTCCGCTGCAAGCAGATGACTGTTTCTGGAAAACACCTCGCTGTCTTAAAAGGTACAGAACGCTCTTCATCATCACTGTGATGTCACTGTGGTGACAGATGTTTGCATGTCAGGGAAGACTCCAAGCTAAGCGACATAAACCCAGCTGTGTGCTGTGACATGAAGCTGAACAGGGCGGCGATCAGCAGTAGATGCATCGCCTCCTTTAACCTGACGTCCAGCGTGCCAGCGCACTGCCGGCACGCCGAGGCGTCGCTGAGCCCCGTGAAGGCCGAAACTGTCGAGTCTCTGCTCCGTGGTTGTGACTCTGATCAGCAGGACGATGTAGGAATATTTTGGTATTTAATCTAAAAGCACCAGCAGAGGGCGCTGTTTTTTTAAATCATCGTTAAAGGCCGAAACGAATCCGTAAATAAAATAAAATAGATTCCGTTGCTTGGTTGCAGTGGTCAACTGTGATTCTGTTTCCTGTTTCCTGTCAGTGCTGAACGAGTCTTCTCAGGAGGAGGTGAGTATTCGGGATGTTCGGATTTTACCGAACCTCAACGCCTCCTACCTTCCCGTGATGCCCGACGGCTCCGTGCTGCTGGTGGACAACGTGTGGTACGTATATGAGTGAGACCCGTTCACATGGCGAGTTCAGACGGCGCTGCCGTGGCGGCTCCTGTCTCTGCATGTTAGTTATTGTGTTTGTTATTGTATTTAATGACAGTGTGTTGTAGGGATGCAACGATACCAATTTTTTCAAACCGATACGATGCCGATACTTGGATCTGAGTACTTGCCGATACAGAGTACAAAAACCGATACTTCTACCACACACACACACACACACACACAAATGCAATGAATTGGAAGACAGGTTTTATTTTATTTTCTGCTGATAAAAAATAAAATCTTAATAAAAATGACCACAAAAAAATTTCAAGTGAAAAATAAGCACTTCTGTTAAATTATTGCAGAGTCTCCACATTGTAATTTAACAAAATATCACTGAACTATTGGCACTGTCTCGAGCTTTCAGAATAATAAATAAACACTTCTGTTTGGAATAAAATAAACTTTTAAATTATTGCAGAGTGTCCATATTGTAAACAAACAAAATAATTATTATTAAATAAATAATAAAATATAAAAAATTATAAAATAAATAATAAATAAAATAATAATTGGCCCCCTAGTGGCCAATCTAAAAAACTACAACAGAAATGACAAGCCACCCTCTGATTAATGAAATAAGTTGGTATCGGTTAACTTTTACGAGTATGAGTACACACACATTTTACAGTATCGGCCCCCCTATCGGTGCATCCCTAGTGTGTTGTGTATACCTTGTTACACTGTGTTGGATTTTTATCATTTGTATCATTGCAGATCGTTTTTAGTAATGATGCTACTTTGTGTTATACTCGATTACTTTGAGTTTCTGGGACGAGTTGTTGTGCAGTCAGATTGTGTGTTTGTGCGATGAATGTCTGTATTTGTTGTTCTTCGCTCTGCAGCCATCAGTCCGGTGAGGTCGGCATGGCGTCCTTCTGCCGGGTGGACAGCCTGGCCTGCCGTCTTCCCAGCATGCTCAGCGCTTTGGAGGAGCACGACTTCCTGTTCCAGCTGCACCTCAACGACATGCCGCAGGACGACTCCAGTGAGGTGCGTTTGTGTTGCGTTGTGTGTTTTATAGTTTGGTGCACACAGTTTGTGTTCTCCTCACGATTTCCTGAAGAAGGAAAAGTAAACGACGTGTTTCTGTGAACAGCTGTGTCAGCGCAGGATTTTATTACGACTCTGAGGGCGGACACACTTTAGAGCAGCTGTTCCTGCATTAATGCGTCCTTTTCTTATTTCGCTGCTGTCAGCATGTGTGTGCTTGTGTTCAGGGGCTGGAGGTTCCTCTGGTCGCTGTGCTGCAGTGGTCAACGTCCAAGATGCCTTTCACCAACTGCATCTACACCCACTACAGGTACGGCTGGATGAAACACACGTGCTGTGTTAGTCTTGGTATGAGATATCCAGGCTCGGGGGTGCAGACCTCTGCAGCAGGACGACACAGCGTTTCGTTTTCCCGCTGCTTCTCTGAATGACCCGCCGTCCTCCCTCCACTCAGGTTGCCCAGTATCCGTCTGGACAGGCCGCGCTTCGTCATGACGGCCAGCTGTCCGAGCACCGTCAGGGTGAAGGAGCACTTCAAGGTCAAATACGTTCTTCTCAACAACCTGCAGGACTTCCTGGCTGTGCGGCTCGTCTGGACTCCAGAGGGTCAGCGAGTATTTTGATTCATGTTTGATGTTTTGAAAAAACCAACCTGCAGCTGTTTGAAAGGAAACCTGTGAGCGGGTTTGTTTCTGGGACGCAGGGCAGTCTGTGGGGGCTGAGCCCCTAGTGGACGTTAGGGGGAGTGCAGGTTTGTGGTGCTTTGTCCAGCTGGTTCTGGTTGTGTTCTTCCCGTGGATGGAGACGGTTCTCTGGACCAGTTTCAGGAGAATCGCGCCGCTCTCTGTCAGTCGTGCTTCAGAGTAATGTGTTGTTTGCTCGCTCGCTCAGGTCGAGGTCAGGGGGAGGACGCAGCGCTGTCTGCCGTGGTCTGTCACACCCCTCTCAGTAACCTGGGTCACTGCCGCAAAGGAAGCACTCTGTCGTTCAGCGTGGCCTTCCAGATCCTCAAACCAGGACTCTACGAGGTACGCCGAGCTTTGAGCGCCTGCTTCCTTATCTCGCCCGCTCACACGCGTCATCATGTTTTCTCCTCTCTCTGCAGCTGAGTCAGCACATGAAGCTAAAGCTCCAGTTCACAGCGTCGGTGTCCAACCCTCCACCCGACGCTCGGCCCCTGTCACGTAAGCTCTGAGCAGGAAACAAACACAAAAGGCTTTGACCTGCGTCTGCTCTGATTTCTGTGTCGTGTCAAAACCATCCAGGTAAAAACAGCCCGTCCAGCCCGGCGGTTCGAGACCTCCTGGACCGACACCAGGCCAGTCTGGGGCGCTCGCAGTCCTTCTCCCACCAGCAGCCGTCTCGGTCCCACATCATGAGGTAACTTTAGTAACTTCAGCTTCATATCACATCCAGTATGTCGTTTAATCTTCTCTGTGTGCGACAGGACGGGCAGCGCCATGGAGCGACGGGCCATCACGCCTCCCGTTGGCTCTCCGGTCGGTCGGCCGCTCTACCTGCCGCCGCAGGACAAGTCGCTGCTGTCGCTGGACAAGATCGCCAAGAGGGAGTGCAAAGTCCTGGTGGTGGATCCTGTCAGCTAGGCAGCGAGAGGAGAGGCTTTTATTTTGATAGAGAAACGCTCACGGGAAGAGATGACAAAGAACCCGACTTCATGTTACTGCAGGAAACACTCCTGTGTTTAATCAGCTGACCAATCAGAACAACGAGGAAGGAGTTCATCCTTCAGCTGAAATTCATGTTTTATTGTATTTAAAGTCACGTTGGGTTTTCCAGCTCGTTTCCTGGAAGCGTTCTTTAAAATTTTATCTTATATTTATCTTTAAAGCATCGTCCAGATGCCACTGAATCGTTTTATGCTCCCGGTGTGTTTTACAGGATGAAAACTGCAAACGCAGCTCAGCTCCACAAAGAAGAACTGAGAATTTATTTTACATTGTTTAGTAAAGTTTCCAGGAAATGAGCTGGAAAGAGCCAAACCTGCAAAATAAAGTGTTAGCTTTTTACTTCTGTGTTATTTTCAGAGTAAAAGACATTACAGGTTAAAAACGTATGAACCTGAGGACAGTTAACGTTTTCTTTCAGTGTTATTTCCTCCATCGCGTCACAAACAGTAACTGCAGCAGAATGTTGATAATAAAATGAATATAATGGTCCAGGCTGTTGTTGTGAGTCTGCAGACACCCGGCGCTCCCTCACAGCGTCTCTCTGAGGACACTCAGCCTTTTATTAAAGAGCAGCACGAGTCCTTGCTCACGGTGTTCTGGTTCATCCTGGTTATTAACTGCTGGTGATGGTAAATTTGATTCTTTTTACTGAATCGAGTTTTAATGAGTCACTCACCAAAGTGAATCGGGTTTTTTGAGTCATTTGATTCACTGAGTCAGTCGACCAGAGAGCGCAAAAAATGTACATTTTCACTCAAACTTAATTTGTTTCTCTTTTCATGTAAATCCCACTGCTAAGATGAGTGATTCTAAAAAAACAACTATTTATAGAGCAAAAAAGAGCAAAAACATTTCTAAAATTAAGCAATTTCCTATCAAAATTGCTCAATAAACATTTATTTATTTTTATTTTATTATTTTTATTTTATTAGTATTTTCCTTAAATGTGTTAAATATATATTTTCTCATCTAAATGTCCACTGAGCTGTGAGCCAGGGGGCGGTAATGCGCCTTAACATTGGTTGCCAACCAAGAAGAAGAAGAAGCTGTGAGCCAGGAGGGAGGGGGTGAGTGAGTCAGATGTGCTGTTAGCATGTTAGCAGAGCGATGCTACTGTGAACCGAGGAGCTATTGTCTGGATGTGAGCTTCTACTCAGGGTTTTTTCTTCTAGTTCAGAGCAGAAACGTTTTTGTTACAATACTGGCTGTTGTGTTTTTCTCCACAATTTTAATTATAAGCAGATACATTGCTGCTAACAGCAACAGGGATGAGTCAGTGAGTCAGTTGGGCTTGTGAATCATGATTCATGAGTCAGTAAAGTGATTCTCTAGTATTGAACGATTCGTTCATGATTCTCACATCACTATAACTGGCGCACATTAGCAAGACAAACTCATGAAAACTCAGGAATTCAGCTGGGATGCAGGCACGAATCTCCAGCACTCAACCTGGGAAAACTGAGTATTTCTGTCTCTGGCTATACTTGATGTTTTTAAGGGAGGGGCTACTGGGGCCTCAGTGTCAGTAGTAGCTCCTCCCACTCCAGGTAATAACAGGGACCATCATTGCGTTAATTTATCACAGTTCTTGGTTTATCATTAGTGAAACAATAAGCTACCAGCGAGGACACAGATGTAGTCAGAGTGCATCTGCTGTCTCGCTGCTAAAAATCAACACATGAGAAGAAATGAGCGTTTCTCTAACGTCCGAGGTCACATGATGCACCCAGACATTTGATTGGCTCTGCTCTGTTCTCTGTGTGCTTCTACGTTCTTGAAGACATTTCATCCAAAAAGCTTTTGCAGATCAGGAAGGATCTCAAAACTGGACTGCAGACAGTTGGCGTCACTAGCCCCACCTCCGTTCAAAGATGGCCGTTCACAGTGGACTTCGGCTGTATCCCAATTCAGGGTCTGCAGCCTTAAGGGCCACATTTTAAGGCCGACGTGACGAAGGCTGTCCCAATTCGAAGGCTGCTCGAAATGCGGCCCTCAAATGCGTCCTTCATTTCCCTGAATTTTAAGGACGTGGCGGTGTAGACTTCGTGGCCCAACATATACCAGAATGCATAGCGCGGCGGTGGGTGTGGATAATTTTGCCGAAAAAAAACGGCGGATGAGGGGCGCCCTAAGAGTAAACTTTAAGTAAGTACTGAATATCATGTCACTTATTTATGTGCAAATGTTTAATAACGAAGAACATTAAAACATTCCTGTTGGCCACATGTCGGCAAAGTCATGTGACATTAGTGACGTTTGTACTAACTTGGTTTTAAAGCCTTTACTTTAAAATATACGCCGTTCAATAGCTGAGCTTAATCAGAGAATGACCAAAGCTCATGTAGAAACAAACAAAAGATTTTCTCCTTCATTTCTGTCAAACAAAGCTGTATGAAACGTTTCCAGCTGTTAGTATCATGGTTGCTAGGCAACCTGGGCAGCGCGACGGAGGCTAGACCGTCCCATTTCACAAGCCTCGCACTTCCGGCCTTAGCGGTCTTTGAGTACACGGCCCTTGATGCTTCTTTCACTCCTCTGTCTTCTCTGTCCAACATGTGGACATTGGCATCCTCAAAGAGTGGCCTTTGACCTTTAGATGCAGATGGGTTAGGGGTTGACAATATTGTTCAGTTTGTTTCTGATCCTCCTTCGTTGGTGTTTGATCTTGTTTTCTGTGCGTCTTTGATGATTTGATGAAAGCCCCGTTGGGATAACCACATGTTTCTTTACACGTGTTCCTTCTGTTTGACAACTTTATCTATTTGTATTCAGTTAGGACATGATTGTGATGATTGGCTCTTACACTACTGTCACTTCACACCACACGTTTGCCTGTTTGAAACAGGAAAATAATGCAAACAAAAAGAGATAAAAGCTGTTTCTTAGTACTTGTTGCTGCTTCATGTTCTGTGTGATAGTTTCCATCAAATTCACCAGAATCTGCAAAGCTGTGACTTCCAGTGATGGACGACAGACTAACTAAAACAAAAGCCTTCCCCTTACGTGCAGTAAGACTTTAGACCAGTGGACGTCCTGCAGGGACACTCAGTACTGACCGCCACCACACACACACAGATACACGGGGTAAAGATAGACAAAAGTGGAAAAGCATCAGCAAAGTTTGAACAGTGTGTTTAATACATGAGTGAAACATCAGGTCTGTGGATGGATTTGGTTTTCAGAAGATCGACTACAAAAACAGGACGTGGATCCTTAAAGTCCACGCCTTTATTCTCTGATTGGACGAGAGCAGAGTTTCATGACTCACAGTTCAAAGTAATCTTTATTTATACTGAGCCTCAGTGGAGCGCCGCTCTTTGTGACATCATACAGAGCTGACAGTAAAAAAAAAAGTGAAACCTGACTTTTAGAGCAGCGTGAAGCCCGACGTCATGTGACATCCTGACCTGTAACAGCATGTATATGATGTGTGATTGGCTTTTATCATATAACCCCTGAGAATAAAACAGGCTGCATGTAAAATCCTGAAAGGGCTCATTTTACATGAAGAATGTTACCTTCAGTTCTTTCTTGTGCTCGTAGTTCTGGACTTTTACTCAAAGCTTTCTTTGAGTTTCTGTTGGTACTTGAAGGAGAAATAAACTCAGAGTATCCACAAATCTAACTGTGACAAAAACAGGCACCGAGCCACTCAATGCACAAAGCCTGACGTTATTGGTCGAATATTCAGCCACGCGTAGGAGAACAGCTGACAGCGCCTTCTCTGTTTCTGACTAGCTTCATTTCCAGCTGACAAAGATGCCTGTGAAGGTCATCGTAGTCTCAGGAGCTTGGAAAGAAAAGCGTCTGGACTTCTTTAAGTTTCCTTGAAGATGTTTCCTCCGACAAGATTGTCCTAAACACAAACTTAACAACGTAGTGTATGCAGCAGAGAGCACCAAGGAATGCTCCGACCTTCACATTGGAGAGACTTCAGAAACCAATGGCACAACATGGAAGAGCCACAAGACTCAGGGGCCCATTCAATTCAACTTTATTTACACAGCGCCAAATCACAACAACAGTCGCCTCAAGGAGCTTTATCTTGTACAGTAGATCGTACAATAAT